GTGCACTCCTGTGTCGTTCTTGGATGCACAAACTGGCGCGTGTAGTGTAAGTAGTTTAGTATGAATAAACATAATATTATAGAGCTTGTTAACTTTCAAATGTCTGCTTGAAAATAAACATTCGGGTTCATTCTCAGCCAAACCGCCTACCTTGGGACGAGCGTGAAGTTGGCGGTAAAGCGGGGCTGGTGGTACAACGAGGGTTTCACGTCTTCCGTTAAATACATGTACCGCTATATGTTGTAGCATTGACCTCCTAACGTCAAGGTAAATTGTTTACCAATCACTAAATGAATTAATGAGTTATCTCCCTTCGATCTGTCACTTGGACTTGAGCGGGGAGCTCGAAGGGCATTTGCCAACTTGTTACATGTACATGTAGTTATTAAGCTGATATCTGGCGAGGTCACTTTAAAGTTTCTCCAGGCGACTATTTAATTTAATTCCATTTCTATTTTTTAACATTGACCATCAAGGCCTAAAAATAAGAGCATTTTCATGATCCGCGCATCAAATTAATTAGTTGGATTCACGTGAGGAGCGCAGGTTGATGCTGAATTACAAAGTTTGTTTCATTTGTTCGTGGCAGGAAAAGAAATCAAATGAGGTGGTGCTTGATGAAGCCCACGCGGGACGTTCGCTGTTAAAAAAACAATCAGGAAACGACAAATGCAGTTTTTGGGACATAAAGGCCTTGAAAATCTAGCTCTCACTGGCAAAATTGAAGGCAAACGAGGCAGGAGTAGGCCAGAGCAACCTACTTAGGGAACCTAAACAAATTGGTAACAGGGAAAGATCGGGGAAAGGTAGCTTTTTTAAAAGCATCCGAGAAAAGGAATGAATAATGAAGAACCATGATCGCCGATGTCTGCTGCAGATCTGGCACCGGATGATGATGGTGATATTTCATTTATTTTACTCTTCGGCATTACAAATTGTATTGTGTTCGCTTGCTACACACTACATCACTGCAGATCTACAAAAATGTATCCATATTGCCTGAAATTTGCAAGACAAGGGTGGGGGAGGCAGATTGGTGAAAAGCATTTGATCCGGACATCGGCCTAGCTCGTAGAGACAGGTGTGAAAGATTGTCAAGCAACCACCGACTAGACTGTCACTGGACTTGCCGTGCGCCGTGTGTAGCCTTGTGTATACCTGTCCCCGTCGTTTTATACAAGAAAAATTCTGAAATTAGGCAAACTGAGCTAAAAATGTGAAATAATGCGATTCTGTTAATTTTAACAAAGGATGGTAAAGGAAAATAATCAGAAATTATGTTTAAAAAATATCAAATTTTGCTAAATTATGCGGGGTGCATAATACCACGGGGACAGGACTGTGTACTGTGTAGGACTACTTCTGGCGGCCAGTTCGCCTGCGGTACAACGAGGTTTGACTGTACTGATTTACCAATGCGCACATAACTAAACTAGGCATGACACTCCAGTGGACCAGCGACCAAACATTTTTTTATTTAAAAATCTCGATTCAGTAATAAAGTTTCTTCTTTATGCCCCTTGGGTGCACACACAGGATCAGGACAATGAATGATTTACAGTATCCTAATTAGCCTAAAAATTGCTTATGTTGAGACAATAATGAATAATACGTGTATATTTGAATAAAATAATGATCTCAGTCTTAACCCCCCCCCCCCCCCCCCCCCCCCCCAACCCCTCGTCCATCGTCGCGGGAGGTGGAAACGGACAAAGCAGGGGATTGCTGGGTTTGGAAGATGTATGTCGTGGGTTTTTACTCACATGACCGCAACCAGGACCATGAAGACCATCCCGGGTCACCCTGAAACGTCCGGCTAACGGGCTCTGGTGAAACAACGACAGACCTAGCAAGCCGGTGCCGGATTATTTATTGCTAAAGAAAATCATAGGAGAAAGAAACGGACGGACCTAAGCCAAGAAAGACCTGGATCCAGAGTGTGAAGGATACCCTAAGAAGATTCAAATTCATTATCCCACCCAGCCAGGCCATCAAACTTGCTACAGACAGGAAGCTCTTTCTCCCCTCGACGCCCTAGAGGTACAAGAGGACGGATAATGCAAAGTAAGTCATAACCCCTTCATCATATGGGCCCTAACATCGTCCACAGAATACGCCATCAGCATGCACTGCATTACTACATCAGTGGTTTTATTGCTCTGTGTCGCCAAGAGGATCCTGCGTAAAGTGTAATGTAATACGGGGTGCCCACTACAGCTGGATCGGGTCGATCGCCCGACTCGGTCGCCTGAAACTGAAAACAAACACGTTTGTTTTTTATGCTACCGAGTCGGGCGATCGGCCCGACCCGCCGATCCCATCCGTAGTGGGCACCCCCTATAAGTTTACACATCGTATGTACAGACGGGCGAGTACTTATCTTCTCTAACACTATATGTATGTCATATTTGATAGCGACGGAGTGCGACAGAACTTTCCTATTGTACCTCACAGGACCACATGGACCGGTTGTTCGATCCGTGAACTGAACCCTGACCTCAAAGCCCTGATCACAAAGCATGTCTTGAGATCATGTGTCAGTGCGTGCGTTCATCGAGATTTGAGATAAAAATATGAACACACAGCATTTTAAATTCCCACCAAAGGCTAAAGACAGCCACGTCAATCAATTAATAAATAAATCATACACGGTCTTGTCAGATGATGTTACACATTATGAAAAACTGATCAGGGACAGATACATCCACAAAGACAAGGGAACAAGATGTGAAAAAAGGACGAAGTTTTTGTTTTAGTAAGATTTTACGGTGCTCGCGACTGCATGAGGTCACATGAGCGCCGGGGGGGGGGGGGGTGTCAAAAGCGATGTCCAAATAGGGAATCAGGCACTCTGCTCATCTCTCTAGCCTCAACAGTACAAAGTCTGCTTTGACTATCAAAATTGACGAAGACAGTCATCTCCCTACAGCAGTAGGAGAGTGAAGCCAACATGTCGTAAAAGCAATCCGTTTTGCAATTATGAAAATGTCCTTTTTTTAAGAACTTAACCACTCCATCCCTCCCCTCACCCAGGAAAAACAAGCACAACCTCCTCATAGTATATCTCTCTGTTCATTTGTTGCCCATGTTTAAAGGCCCGGTTACACGTAACAATAAATTGTACAAAAAACTGGACGATCTAGCGATCATACGATAAATCGTCAGGTGTAACCACAAAATTGTACAAAATTTGGACGATTGAACGATGGTTTGGAGACTCGGTCGAGAAATCAAGTGCTGCTTGATATTTTTCGAGCGATCACTGTCAGATTTGGGGGAGACGCGCTGTGACGTAGATTCACTTTGAAATTTGCCTCCGCGTAGAATTAAACTCAGGGCTCAGAATGTTTTTAATCGTATGTAAAAACTGATTTCATTTCGGAATCAGCATCTCAAAATAAGCAAAGTTGTTTGCGAAGAACCTGATTTGGTGCGTTATTGTGCATATTTTAGCAATTTTATTATTTATTTAGTGGATCGCCAATGGTGAAATGCATCTAGGTCACTCGGTGCGTTGCACGTATGTAGTCAAGTCAATGCTTCTCTTTCTACACACAACACGGTAGGCCTAATGTATGGCCAACCTTTCCTAAAGACTGCTCTGCTATTTAAAATGTAACAGGGGAGGGGGCTCTCGTGATCTAGAGGTACAGTGTTCGCCTTTCAATCATGAGGTCCAGAGCTCGAAATCTTCACTATGCTTCCCAGGCAAAAGGCTGTCTTCGCAAAGAGACATGGCGGCTTTGAGACGAGGAATCTCCTCGATCAAAAGAAAACTGGACGATAGATTGGAACATGTAAACAGACAACACAGTTCAATAAAACGGACAGTCCTCTCATACAACGAATCTGATACAATTTGTTGTTGCGTGTAACCGGGGCTTTAGTGTAAGTTTCCTACAATCAGTCAGTGTAAGGTGCGCTATTGTGTATGCATGTACGTTATAAGATTAAAGAACAGCAACAAAAAGAAAAGTTTTTTTTAAAGTCCTCACTATTACCCCAATGCTTCCTACAGTACTCTCTGAAGATCTAGAAGCGTTGCGAGGAACGAGCAGCATAACAGCGCTGTTTCTTATCCACTCAGACATGGTGGCCAAGGGGCGTGAAGTGGCAATACGCAGCTCATGCGTTTACAAGAGTGACGTCACAGCCTTTAGCACTAGTACTATAACCTCATTGACTTGCTATCAAAGAGTCTACATAACAAGAGGGGCCACTTCTCTCTTTGAGTCAATTAAAAAAGTGTCCTCAAAATTCGGTGGCGCCCTCTTCACAAAATCGCACCTTTTGCGAACAGAGTTATCCTACTTGAGTTTTTAAAAAATCAAAGTGAAACTAGCAAGTTTTTGAATGAATTTCGGAAGAATGCTTTTTTTTAATGGTTACGCTGACAAAAAACCTCTTCCGTAGGAAAAGGTGATTGTTTTCTTCGTTTAATTTGACTTTAGAATGAAAGGCGAGGTCATTAAAATTTTAAAAAACTAAAACTCCGTACTGAACGAACCCGAACTGCTGATGAACAGCAGTCGATCTGCGCACGCAAAGAGGTGCTATTCCTATTCTTCTTCTGGAAAAACGAAAGAGAGCTTCAAAACAGACTGCAGCGCCATCTGAAGCAAAGAGCATACTTCCTGCGGACACCTTTTTGGCTGAGTGGCCCATCTTGTTATTTACTATCTTTGTTGCTATTCAAGTGAAGTACTCGTCAACATTTGCATTCACATTTTTATTTGCTTTCTATGGCATACATTTTGTAGATCAGCCTTGACACCACAGCCGCAACCCCGACAGCCAATGATTGGCCATCTTGACACTTGGAGGGTTAAGCTATTGTGTCAAGTGTTGGGGAGGAAAAGGAAGATAAATGTAATATTACATAGTGCAGTTGAGTGACGCATTCGTTCTCAAGGTACATTATAATCAAATCACGGAGTCCAGCAAGGTTATAGATGTTCTGAGCCTTCTCAAGCAACAAAACAATTCCAGAAAAGTTCAGAGAATGGGCACCTCAAATGATGACAGTTGAGTATTTTATTGAAACAAAGAAACCATTGTTTACTTTCATTTAAGTAAGAGCATTATGGCAATTGCAACACAATTAGGTCAGAAAGATGCAGAGGATAAGGTGGTGTTACTAGAGATTTAAAAAATTGAGGGGGGAGAGAAGATATGGAAGACAGATGTTTGACAGGAAAGAAGGAGCTAGTCACACCAGAGGCCCCACCAACCACCCATTTTGCTTTCAATTTTCAGCCGCACCCAGTAGAAATAAACAACAAGACCAGGATTGGTTGGAAACCTGTATCACAATTTAATCCATTAATCTACATCTTTGCCATGAAATTGCAATTTTCTAAATGAAAAAGGACAGGCACATGGCAAGACGATATATCTCATCTAAATAGAAACAAAGACACAAAAACTAAAAAACTAGGGGAAAACCAAGGCTCTGTAAATCACCGCCAAAAACAGTTGGGTTTTTTCAGTATACTAAAAATTAGTACAAAAGTTATAGACGAGGAAAAAATGGCAACAGGTATAATCATATTCAACAATTAAGCTAGAGATTCTTTTGAGTGTTTTTCTCGATCTACCACAGAGAGTTCACAACAATGAAAGATGTGGACAAAACCTATACAGTGCAAGTAGAAAACTGTAGAGACAGCTAAGGACAAATCATACAGTCACAGACTTTTCCCCTACAGCCAGCAAAAGAACAAAGCCTACTTCTGCTGCTTTCCATTCTGATAGTCTTTATCTTGAAAAAAAGTTTTCTTCCACAAAAAATACTTCTTTCAAAAGGGCATTCTGTTTCTTAAGTGAAGTACATAGACCAGTTTTTGCCTCACGGCAGGTGGAATCTTGTCATAGCAAGTAACAGAACATTCCGATCAGCGTAGAAGTCATGATGCTGAAGGATCAACAGAAACAAAGTCAAAAATAAATATAATACATGATATCAAAAATGTACAAGCTCAGAGTAATGTTGAGAGATTGATGAGTAAACCTGGGAATAGAAAAAAAGCAGACGAGCTTCTGCTGTTGGCTCTGCTCATCTACTGGTTGGGGTTCTTGAAGTTCTTGCCAGCGTACTTGGCGTCTGCTCCAAGCTCCTCCTCAATCCTCAATATTTGGTTGTACTTGGCCAACCTCTCCGAGCGGCAGGGGGCGCCCGTCTTGATCTGTTGCAAAAATCAACACATTTTGTAACCGACACATTTTCCATTATTTAGGAGGCGGGTTTCTGATCCTGCCTGTCACTGCCAACCCGGGCTATGAGGGATACAACATCCAAGAAGACACTTGAACAAAATTTTCCTCTCTGGGTTCTCAATTTTGATAAGTTTCACAACACTTAAACACAAATAAGCCATACAGGTGCCGAAGATTGGGGATATTACCAGGGGGAGAAACAAACGAAGAAAAAAAAAGGAGAGATTAAGATGATAGATGATTGGTATAAAAGAAGGACAAACTGATGCTGAATGTCCTCGCGACAGCATAAACGTGTTGAGCAAGCCGAAGGCTCGATTTCTCTGATCTTGAGTTAAATCTACTATCTTTCTAGGACGACAATGATCAAATGTTTTAACTGTTTTATAAACAAAGATATAACTTTATCAAAAAGCAAAGAATAGAACAAAAATTTGCCAGGTGGTAGAGAAAAAAAAATACCAATTTTTCTATTTCTTCATGTTGGTGGTGCTGTGAACACAAATTGAGGCGCTAAAATGTTATTTTTACAGCGTGACTTGCTTTTAATTAAGACTACTTAGTATTACTCACATGAAAGGAAAAGCATAAAGACTTAAAAAGACCAAATTTCATACACAATCAAAAAGTGGCATCTTTTTTTTTTATGCCAGTATATGAATACAATGATTGTTTGCTATTCCTATAGTCACGAGGGACTTCTCACCTGGCCAGTGGACAGGCCCACAACAAGATCAGCGATAAATGTGTCTTCTGTTTCTCCGCTCCTGTGGGACACCATCACTCCCCAGCCTGCCTCATGGGACATCTTGCATCTGTACAGGGAGGTCAACAAAAAATGAAAGTTTTGTCTCCAGATTCACGTGGGCTGCTCAATAATAAGAGCAATAAGGAAGCCACAAATAAATTTTGGGACACTTCACCCACATAAAGATTTTGAACATCTAGCTTTCACTAGAAACATAGAAGGTAAACGAGGCAGGGGCAGACCCAAACATATTTGGAAAATCTGAAGAGGTGGGTGACAAGAAACACCGGGATAAAGTGGGATTTCTTAGAGCATCCGAGCGGAAAAATGAACAAAGAACTATGATCGCCGAAGTGTTTTTCACTTGATGATGATAAGTTGTACCTCTTTACCAACATTGCATCTCCTCTGCAGCTCCAAAGAAACCACAAGAACCCTGTCAAATCTGTGTCCAGAGGCATTTAATGAACATAACTCAGCTCCTCTTTAACCGGAATAAACACAGTATTATCATCAAGTGCCAGATCGGCGACATAGGCAATCATGGTTCTCCCGTAATTTCTCCACTCAGATGCTTTAAAAAATCTTTCTTCGTCAACAATCAGTTTGGACTTTCCAAGTCAGCTGCTCCCACGTCCGTTCTTTAATATACCATTCATTCATAAAGACATTCAACATTTGCTTAACTTTACTCTTTTTGTTCTCACAACAAAAACAAGTAAACATATTCTGGCACTATCCTCGAGCCCTCCCTATCAATTCTGTTGTACTTTAAGCAGGGCGTAAAGGAAAGATTTCACAATAAGGTAAGTCACCAAAGAAAGAAAATTCATGTTACCTTCATCTCAAACTAATACGTAATAATTCTAACTTAATTCCTCGAGTGAAAATGAAATTGGTTCAGACTTTTTAAAAATCTACTTACGCATCTATGGCCTCTGTGACTGTGCCAATCTGGTTGACTTTCAAGAGCAGAGCGTTGCAGGCTTTAGTATCAATACCTTTCTGTACTCTCTTTGGGTTGGTCACAAGCAAATCATCCCTGCAACAGAGAAATCATCAAATGTCACGAGGAAATCTACCCAGAACCTCTTTTTACTTTTAGTCAGTTTTACAGCACTTGTATCACAAACAGGTCATATAAGTGCTGGAGATTTGCGTTGTTACTAGTGAGTACCATATAAAGAAAAAAAGAATGAAAGATAAGGATGATTGATTTTTAATAGGAAAGCAGGAGCAAACCACATCTGAGCATCAACCAACCACCTATCATCCTTCCCTATCCTTCCCAGCATACTAAATTTTTTTTAAACCATTGGAGTGCCGATAGACACTGAACCCTAAGACCATAAGTGTCGAATTTCAGGCCTGCAGGTCACATCAGGTCCAGCCAAGGTTTACAACTGGCCCACAAGACAATTTTAGCTAGTCCCTCCAGAGAATCTCTACAACACAGAATCTTACTCCAAACGTAAGAAAAAATTTGTTGCCAAAAATATATAGGCCAAACATCCAACTGAGACAAACTGGCATAACATCGAAAATTGGTATAAACCGATATACCTTGGTTTGTTTTTATCATAACCTTTGTTTGCATTCATGTCATTGTTTTAAAAAGGTTTTTAGTAATAGTATTACCCTGCACAACAAAGTGTTTCTTCACTTTGACCCGCAGCCTCGAGTGTAGACAGAGTTTGACAGCTCTGCCATCGTCAAATAAGGGCTGACAAGCTTCAAACGATAGGAAACAAAACAAACAAACTCAAAACAGATCCACCCCACTGCCTACCCAACAATTTGGATGCCAGCGTTGGATGTCATCTTGCTCCACGCCTGCCAGTCATCCTGATCAAAGGGATCCTCAATTGTGATCACTGGGTAGTTAGAGACAAAGGACTTGTAGATCTCGCCTAACTGATCAGATGTTACCTACACGGAACAAACAGATGAAAATATCACAGCATTAGAACAACATTATTTCTCGGCAGTCCCCCCCCCCGTACTCCTCTATTATGAATATCCTGCACACCATAACACCTTCAGAGTCACCTAGTTTTATAATCAAATAATCGGCAAAACGAACATTTTGACTGCTTAATTTAAGACTTCGCCATACACCATTTTGAAAAGTGGCCCATGTCTTACACTAAACAGTGGATTTGATAGAAGGTAACCAGAGTGTTCATTTAAACAGTCATATTTTCCTTAATAATACTAATACAGCAGGAAATAGAATAGAGAACTTACTAAACAGACATTTGTGACAGATTCTATGAATCATATGTTTGTTTGGAACATAAAGACAGCATCACACTATACTTGCAACACAAACTGGTCATGTGAGTGCTGAAGTACAGAATATAGAAAGAAAAGAAAGCGCAATAAGGGCAAAAGATGTATGATAGGAAAGAAGGACCAAACCACATCACAGTATCCGCCAACCACCCACAATCATAAGAATTCTCAGTAAAGGAAGCAAGGGGTAATATACCACAAATGAAATGTGCAAAACCATCAATCTACTATTCTACCACAAAAACAGCCAACAGAGGTACAATTTTCCCCTCTCGGTTCTGTGGCTCTGGTATGTGAAGAAACTACGGCATGTGGCCTTTTCACCCAAAACCAAAAGGGGCAACTGAGACAAGTTAAAAGCAAAAAGATTTCATTCACAAGCTTACCCAGTCATTACGGTTTGAGTCCTTGTTCTTGAAGTCCAGATCGTACTTTCCCTCCTTGTAGAACTCTGAAGCTGCCACATCCATACCAATTTCCACCTTCCCCGTGTAACCAGCCTTCTCAATAGCTTCGTTCAACAGCTCAAGACCTGAATGATGCAAACAATTTTGGAAAATAACAAACAGTTAAAACCAATGAAAGGCTCTTGTCAATTTTGAGCCCTGCCTCATATCCATATTAGCACATTCTAGCTAGTTCAGACTAGTTTTAGAAAGTTTTACAGTACTTGCAACACAATAAATCATATAAGAAATATACAAAGAAACGACATTTTTTATTTATTTATAGTGGAGGGTTTTACGGCGCTCGCAACTGCATAAGGTCATATGAGTGCCAAGAGGTGGATGTCAACAGAGAAATCTTTACAGGGAATCAGACTTATTCTGCTCACCTCTCTAGCTTCAACAGCACAAGGTCTGCTTCAACTATCAAGGCACCCCAAAAATAGCAGGTCACAAGAGAGTGACAAACATAAAAAAGAAGTAGAGGAAAAACGACAATAGTGAGGATTAGGAAAGAAAAAGCAGCAGTTCCCTGTTGTAAAGAAAAGAAAGAATAGAGATAAGGGCTATAGGTGTTTGATAAGAAAATAGCAAACCACACCAGAGCACCCACCAACAACCCACATCCAAATTGCGACTGTCGTGAAGGACAAAAGATGTTGAACATCTGACTGGGACATCCACAGGGTGAGTCCACAAAACAACACAGCATTCTCAAGTCAAAAGAAAATTAAAAAATTAATCTATTTGTGCTGATCATCTAAAATCGATGACATCAGAAATAAAACCTCTGTAAATAAAACCTTCCACTGACATTCACAAACCTTCCACTGACATTCAAAAACCTTCCACTGACATTCACAAACCTTCCACTGACATTCACAAACCTTCCACTGACATTCACAAACCTTCCACTAACATTCACATACTTTCCACAAACATTCACATACCTTCCATGTTGTCTTGAATGTTAGGGGCAAAGCCACCTTCATCTCCCACATTGCAGGCTGAGGGAAAGACAATAATCTATTTTCAAAAACTCTGAGATCAAAAATGTCCTGAGGAAATCAACCTTTAACGACAAAATAAGAATAGCCCGACTGCTCGGTGTGAGACTCCCGTCTTACGTGACTTTTCATGACAGCACATGGCGGAGGCTTACACTAAGCAGACGAAACATACAACACAAAATCAACAAACAAACAAAAACTAACATCAAACCTAACATTCAATTTTCCTTTACCCGTAACCCATAGGTATATATATTATATATCTGAAACAATCCAAGCGTTCTTGGTTACTTGACTTAACATTTCAAGAGTATACAACGGATGTTCTTTACACTAACACGATTCTGGTACAGCCCAGAACATCAACAACAATCAACCGAAAACAAATCTAGTCCCAAACAGAGTTTATATTCGAACCTGCTTTAATGGCCACCAGTATAAGACAATCACTGGTTCAAACAGCCACAGTACATTTCCCCCTCTCGATTTTCTAAAAACAATACAATGACACTGTGTAAGACGACCACCTGTCAAAGATGACCACTTTCCTCCTTGACAATGGGTGGCCATCTTAGACAATTTCAGCAGTAGTTTGATAGATAGATAAGATGAATTTGCTGTGGTTTGGTAGATTTTTGTTTTCCCTGTAAATAGACAAGTGATACCGTGAGCCAGCTGAACTGGCTTGACGTATACTAAAAGGTATCAGATAAAAGCAAAAACTTACCATCCTGGCCGTACTTCTTCTTGATGACTGCCTTCAAGTTGTGGTAAACTTCTGAGCCAATCCTCATGGCCTCAGTGAAGCTGCTAGCACCTGGCAATGTAAAAAAAAAAAGTGAAATGGTATAGGTTTAGTGCCTCTTGCAACAGTGTAAGGTTATCTAAGAGGTGGTATCTTTGAATTTAACATCCATCTCCAATAGGACCAAACCAAATAAGAAATGAGCGTAAAGTGCTTTACCCAGTGACACAACATCGGACCAAGCTAAGGCTCGGACCCCCAGATCCACAACCTCACAGTTAATGATCCGATAGCTTAACCACTACATTACCAATGCCATCTTTGCATTGCGTTACCTCAGAATTACAAACAGGAATGCCATTCAACTTTTTTTTTAAATACCTGAAAATCCACGCGCCACGGTCTCACTAACATATGAATATTATATCAATTTGAAACCCAAAGGGTGTACATAGAGAGAAATGACAAACAAACATAAGCAATGGGTGTACATAGAGAGAAATGACAAACAAACAAAAACAATGACAAACATTTAAAGAAAAATAGATTAGATGTACTCAACATGTGTGTGTGTGGGGGGGGGGGGGTGTAGTTTTTTTTCAACTATAGATTCTATCTCGATCTCAATAACAGAATAGCGGATCAGGATCAAAATATCGGAAATACCAGAAAAAAGCGGAAAAGTGGCATCCCTGTACAAAGCTCTATCTGACATTTTTTGCCCTTTTGAGTTGTTAAGACCATGAGATCAGAAATCAAATGCTCTATCTGCTCTAATAAAATCATGAGAATATTTTGAGTCGCTATCAAGATATTCAAAGATTTGCATGGTACCTAAAGCTTAACATATTGTGAAACTCAAAAATTTTTAGGTCAAATTTCTCAAAAGTAGGTATTGAGCAAATAGAATGTTGTAATTCTCGGGAAGTGACTTGTCAAAGAAAACTCAGTAACAATCTGATTTGGCTCGATGAGAGGTTTTACACTGACAGCACTTAAAACACTTTTGGTCAAATTATAGTACAACCCATCGTGTACCTGTTCAAAAAAATAATGAGGTAAGGAAAGGAGAAAAGAAGCAAACCAACTATGCTCACTTACTCCTTGTTACGAGTTAAGACAAAAAAAGAGAAGGGATATTTTTTTTAAACCCCCAAAAAGCAATCAAAACACCTCACTCCAACACCACATGAGGTGAATGCTACGACACTTGGACACGCACACACACAAGCGTGCACACACACACATACATACCTGTGGGCAGAAGCATGAACTCCTGCATGGCCAGTTTGTTGCCCGCGTGACTCCCTCCGTTGATGACGTTGAAGGCTGGCACGGGGAGGTACAGCTGCTTGGTCCCCGCAATGCTCTGGATGTGGCGGTACAGGGGCACTCCCTACCACAAGACATCAGACATATACTACACTATGTTGTAGTCAGAGTTTTATGGCACTTGCAGCACCATCAGGACATAAAAGTACAGAAGATTATATATGTTACTAGAGAGTCAAAAACTCAAAAAAAAGGAGGAGCAATACGGACAAAACTAACAATGATAAGACTGCGTACATATGAGTGGTTTGCGGGTGTTCTAGTGCCGTTTGCTCTTTTATTTCTTTCAAACACCAAAGCACCCGCCAACCACTTAGCAATATGTATACCGGGGGACTCGCTACAACAAGACATTCAAATTATAATGTAGGCGTTTTCACGCTCCCATCAACACAATTAAGATCATTCAAGAGGCGGACCAACCCTGCCTGTCAGGGCCTACCCAGGATGAGATGGATACAACATCCCAATCACAGCAGAAAGACCAAGACATTTGATAAAACTTTCTCCACTTGGGAATCGATCACAAGCCTCCTGATTGCGATGGTGAAGAGCCTAACCTCTACTTCACAGTCGCCGGTACACAACAAAACATGATAGACAAACGTTTAATTCAGCCATGAGGACAGGTTCACTGTTGTAGATGCCTTATGCTCCTTCAATAAACCATTAGTCTCAGTAAGAGTTTTACAGCACTTGCAACACAATTAGGTCATATAAGTGTCAAAAATAAAAAGTGTTACTAAAGAGTAACATGCAATGAACAGAAAGAGGAGAGATAACGACGATAGATGTTCGATAGGAAAGAAGGAGTAAACCACATCAGAGCGCCCGCCAACTGCCCACTTACCTTCTCTGCGGCAGCAGCTCTGCACAGTGCCATGGACACTCCCAAGATGGCATTGGCTCCCAGGCGACCTGGACAAGAGAAACGCAAAATTTGAAGAACACTTGACATAACCAGCCATAGACTTGACTTAACTAGCCATAAACTTGACTTAACTAGCCGTAGACTTGACTAAACTAGCTGCAGACTTGACTTAACTGGCCGTAGACTTGACCTGACTAGCCATAGAATTGAATAGTATCCCAGACCAGGCACTGTCACGGCCCCCGTCCTTTGCTCTCTATAAAAACTTCTCCACGCTGAAGTCCATCATTGACACTCAAAAGAAGGACAAACCACAAGTTGCTGTATAGGCTAGTCAAATGCCTGACAAACTTTTCACTCCTTGACCTACATTTGATGGTTCCAAACAGAGTGCACTCCATGGAGAACTGGAATTATGTCAGCAGTGTCCAGTCTTAGAAATTATTATAATACATGTCTTTGTAACTAGCAAACTTTAAGTAAAAAAGTACTAATTCTTTCAAATTGCCCCAACACTGTTCAGTTTTCAGTTTGGGAAATGGCATTACTTTTTGGAAATAGTCAGGGCTTTCTGTTCTTCAAATGCGCTGGACAAGTCTCCACTGACAGGACAAGCTCAAGCAGGGAAATAGAGCTGGCATGAATGTAGACATACAGGAGAGGCATCATGTACATTGATCGTTTGTTCTGCAAAATGATGAGTTTTGTCAGTCTCACAACAAAGTTTAAGTGCTGTTATCTCACTGCAAGTGAAGCTACACCCTAGGCCCAATCAGTCCATTTATCATTGTGCTTTGGATGAAATTCTATTCACCTGGGTTGTAAAAAAACAATGTATTTTGCCAGCAGGGGAAACAGAGCTGAACCAACGGACTACAGGTTGTTATGACCTTTATTACTTGTAGCAGGACACAGGACTTTAGCTCTGCAACTTAACACAAACTCACACGTCTGAAAGACAAGACAGTAAAGGTACAGAAAGGAGAAAGCAAAATCTTCAATAAGAGAAAATCACGTAGAAACTATTGCCAATAAAAATCTAAAGTCCAGGCATTACCAGAATGAAAATGTACATCATTCCATCAACAGAAAGTCTGTATTTTGTACAATTAACAAACCTATTACAACATACCCTTATTTTCAGTTCCATCCAGGTCAATAAGCAGCTTATCCACAGCCCGCTGATCCTTCAAATCAGGTTGCTGGAGAAAGAACAATAACAAATGAATAGTGTGTCTTCATACAAGAAACATACATACAAAAGGCTTATAACAAAAGTACTAAAATTCACACCAGCCACACACATTCTATATAAGGAAAGGGCTACATGATTGATGACCTTCAGGTAAAAGACATTTTATCATCAATCAAAGTCGAAGTAATCCACAACCAAAAATAAAAGTTTTCCTCAGTGCCCTCCCCAAAAAATATATGGGGAAAAAAATCATGTCTCCAGTGCAACTGTTGTAAATGAACCCAAACAAACAGGAAATCTATTTTCATGACATTGATAAAAAGCTGCAATTTATCTGATGGAAACTTTTTTTTGTTAAGTGTTTTATGGCGTTCGCCACTGCATTATAAGAACACGTTTAACATTTTAAGTTGGTAGGAAATTTTTAATCTTGCCCAGGGGGCGGCCGAAACCTACTCTTATTGATTTTGGATCACCAAGGGATTCTTAAAATGCATAACTTACAAACAGGACCTCCGTGATTTTTCACTCTTATCAGAGAAGGCTAGGTGTTAGTGTTAGATATTACCTTCAATAAGATCAGGGGTGTGGCTGAAAGACAGCAGTAAGAAGGCCAAGTAGTAGCAGTAGGAAGGCAGCAGAAAGAGTCAGGAGTCTAGAGGAGGGGGCAAATGTGGAGAAGGGTGGGGGCAGCAAATGGAGACGAAAGCAGACTACAGAACACTGTTAGAGAAAAGGAAAGGGTGTGAAAGGAGAAAGTTTTAGAGAAGAAAGTTGTCCGTCGATATCCGGATTCGAACCTGTGGCCTATGGAATGAGAGGCAACACCTTAACCTCTAGACCATATGAGGTCCCCCTCTAGACCATATGAGGTCCCCCCCCCCCCACCCCCTTTCCTGATGGAAATGGAATTCAAGAATAAAGTCCAATTTTATGCTCATCCAACCAGGATTCTTCCACCAATATAAAAAAAAAGATCACAGAACTCTGCTTTTATGGGAATACTGGGCAGGTGTCTGCTATTTATATACAAATGGAACCTGTCAGAGTAGAACAGTGTTCTTGGACTATTCACCAGTTGAAGACATGAGGATACATGGAGAGTTTGAAAGAGGCCTTTACGCTTACAATATCAATAATATATTATGCTCTTTGTCTTTTATTCTCAAAACAAGAGGGAGGATGTATCAAACTTTAAGGTGGCCACAAAAAGTCTGCTTGTATTCATAAATACTTACTTTTTGGATGATGAGATCAGCAATTTCTGTGTTCACATTCTTCACAGCAGTCAGTACACCTTAGAAAACAAACAATATGACTAAATTCACATACCTTTAGGTAAAAATCCCGATATCTTGGCTTTCTAAAAACAACTTGCTACAAATAAGTGGCTGATTAATTTTACTACAAGACAACTTCACGCACGAGAGCAATTTTGGGGGGAAGCTAGAGAATCAAACAAACAAAAAGCATGAGCCTCCTTTCACTCTTGAGAAAGCAAACCCTTCAAACACATACATTTTCTCCCAGTATACCATTCTTAGGTAATGGAGTACATAAATTATCCACACTAAATCAAAACTAACAGGCACATTCTATCTCTAACCTATTCTATCCATAGTACGTCATAATCTTCCTTTCACAAAGTCTACAACTAAATGCACGGCTTTGTCTACCAAAGAGGGAGCTCCTGCATATGACCACTGTTTACCCCGGCTTTCTGCTTGACACCCTCTTGTGGTTGAGAAATATATACAATTCACCTGCTTTTACAGCCACAAGGTGCTTTCCCAGGTCACACAGCCACATTTAGCAATGTAAAACAAGCGGGAACCCCAATAAAACCATGGAAAATGTAATGTCCAAATCAAAACACAAAGAACCAATACGGCAGAGCGATTTATATTGGACATTTGATTTCAAACCAATAGAGAACCACCTTTCACAAACGTAACTAGCCTACCTTTTCCCATGTACTGTGCACCCTTGTCTCTCAGCTCCACAGCTTCATAGATGCCTGTTGAGGCACCGCTGGGTACAGCAGCGCGGAACAGTCCTGAGGAGGCAAGCAACGTATTCAAATACACATAGCCTTCATAGCATATCATCAACTGCTTCAACATGGCCCGTGCTGGAGTCTTACACTGAGCAGTCAATATATGTTTCTACTGGCCCAATACAAAAGGTCATTAGCTGTTGACATTTTTTATTCATAGACAAACTGTTAAAACTAAATGAAAACATTTTGTTTGTTGGGTTCATTTTTTAAACTAAAAAGGCGTTTGAGGTGTGGAAAAATCACTTTAAATGACAAATTGTACATACTACGCAGTGGGTCCTCTGTTTTATTGCTCTAAGAAGCTCTCAAGATGAACCACAGACTTAATAGTTTTTTAAAAATACAGAAACAATAACATAAAAATGCTCAACACTTATTCCTCAAAGTTTTAAAGTTATACGATTTCTCTTTAACTGTGAGGATAATCAGTATTCCCAACAACATAAAGTTCCACAATCTGTAATCGTAATCACTCTTACCAAGATCTGTGGTCACATCTACTTCAACTGTTGGGTTTCCACGGCTGTCAAAAATTTGACGTGCTTTGATTGATTTGACAGGCATCTTGGGTCTTGCCTGATCTACTGTTTCCTGTACATACAGAGGAAAAAATTCATACCAGTTCATAACAGGAAGGTCATTGATTAAGCTCAAGTTCTCCTTTTTCAAACATACACAGCATGTTAAATGCTCATCCAGACGACTGGATGCAAAGAGTAAGTGAGGGCTCGACTAGATGAATTTTATCAATGTAAACAACAATTGTCTTGCCTAAAGCTGTGTACTTTGCATTAATAAGCAATGCCAATCGGGCTTCTGCGAATTAGATCTACTCAATATGCAGCTCAGTGTCCTATTTAGCCCAGTCTCTTGTAAGTGCTAATTTCTTGTGCTTACAAAACTTTAAAAGAAACGAACCGGATCGAAACGGTCAATCATTTCCACTGTGTCGTTGAACTTTGTTTGAACTTGCTTTCGTACGTAGGCCTACTCTTAGTCTTCTTCTTCTTTTCAATTTACGTAGTGTACAGCATCAGAATCAATCTGGGCAGAAGAAAGGTGCTGCACAATCACAGACAACCGAAACAAACAGCTCTGCAAGTTGCAAAGAAAATAGATCTAATCCGAGTCGGCAGGCTGCCGTCGTGTGGTTGTGTTGCCACCATAAATGTGAATGACAACAAAGTGGAAATCCCTCAATGTCGTCCAACAAGATGGCTAGGGGCTCTCGTGGCCTAGAGGTTAAGGTGTTGGCCTCTCATTCAAAGGTCCCGGGTTCGAATCAGGGTAGTGACCGAAAAATTTTCTTCTCTAAAATTGTCTCCTTTCACCTCATTTCCTGCTCTCTAGCAATGTTCTGTTGTCTGCTTTCGTTTCCACTTTCTGCCCCCACCCCCCACACCTCCTTTGCCCCCTCCTCTGGGCTCCTGACTCTTTCTGCAGCCTTTCTACTGCTACTCCTTGGCTCCTCCTAACTGCTGTCTTTCTGCTACATTCCTGATCTTCTGGTAGGAAAGATCTACACCTAGCCTTCTCGGACAAGGGCGAAAAATCTCGGAGGGCCCATGTGCAAGTTGCACACGTTAAAGATCCCTTGATGGTCTAAAATCGATAAGAGTAGGTAGGCTTCGGGCGCCATCCGGGCAAAATCCAAAATTTCCTACCAACTGAAAATATTAGGTGTGTCCCGCGCGCTCATATGACCTTATGCAGTTGCCAGCACCATAAAAACACTTACCAAAACAAAACAAACAAAACAAGATGGCTGTTATATATAGATCATCTAGATCTATATTGGCCAAAGGCGTTAAGAGTTTAGTTGTCGTTCTCTAAATATACGCTTCTTGTGCCAAACAACCATCTAGATCTAGATCTAGATTCTAGATTAGATCTAGATCTATATCTAGATCTAGCTATCTAGATCTAGAAATCTAGATCTAGATCTACATCTAGATATAGATCTCTAGATTTACATCTAGACTTCTAGGTCTAGATTAGATCTAGATCTAGATCTAATCTAGATTATAGATCTAGATTATAGATCTAGAATCTAGATTTAGAATCTTGATCTTGAAGATCTACGGCTACAGTCAAACGGATCCGACAGTCAAAAAATGTAAGTCAAAGCGGGTTGAGTCTTTAACTTAAATCTAGATTAGTTATATTTAAATAAAGTGCAAGAACTATCTAGATCTAGGCCTAGATCAACATTTGGGGAACAGCCCAGGACTAATGTCTAGATCCAGATATTACTATATTAGGTCCTGTCCAAATCTAGATCTAGTCAACAGTTATATATCCTGATCCTGATCTCTTCTGATAACTGCTAGGCTACTTGTTGAGTGTTGAGTCGTGGGACAGAGACAAAGAATAGATGTCATTCACACATCAACAAGAGTGAAGATCGCGAAATCTAGAATTCTAAACCAAATTCACGACGCAAAAAAAGAACAATAATCTCGTCGAAGAATATATTCACAAAACTTACGTAAAGGCCGAGGAAATATTAGGAACTGGAGACGGTGTGGGTGAGTTCTCACAGACCGGTTGGATGTTCGACTCGACAGGTCACAAACGAAGAGAGGGCGCCTAAACGACCTTGAGAGTCCTTCACCTTGACAGTGTTGCTTTGGGATTGGTTAACCTCGAACCCTGCGATTAACCCTAGATGGTTTACATGTCAGTGAACATGCGACCGGCGACTGCTGCAATCATTTCAAATCATAATCACTAGATCGAATGACTAATAATATCTACTTGGAAAATATCTTCATCTTCTGTGTCAAAGACCTAAAATCCGGTAAATTTTTACTTTCACTCCCGCACACAGATGCACTGTTTCAGGGGTCAAACTGCTGTACTGTTTGCTGCAGATCACACATAAAAAGTATGATAAAGCCACTAAAACTGTCGCAAATCAATTATTTTCAAGACAATTTCAAATCTAACTGTAAAATATCAAATTATGTGTGTAAAACAGGGGGGCATGCCCCTCTGTAACCCCCCAGATTTTCTTTTACCCCAGTGGGGCAGGCCCCCCTGGAACCCCCCGATTGGTCCAAAGCATGTCTATCTCGGTTAAAAACAATCAAATATTTCAAAAACCATTAATTTGCGACGAAAATGAAGTTGATATTCGTGTTCAGTGCATCAATATTTAGTAGAAATTAGACAACTGGTAGCTGAGTGTGAGACGGGAGGGAAAGTAAAAAAAATACCTAAAATCCTAATAAACATTTCAGTGTGAGCATTCCCTTTGAGTGTTTTTCTTCTCACCAGTTTTTTTTTCTCTTCATTTTGCGGAGGTTCGCCAAGTGAAAAGAAGACGACAAGAAGAGAAGAAACAATTAATAGATCTATGACAACTTTGCAAAGTGGAAATTTAAGAATTAAATGAAATCATCACTATCTTTTACTAGATCTAGATCTATGCCTCTTTGAAAAACGTGTCGTTTCCTAGTATCCCTCCTCCCTCATTCCCCATTCTCTGTCAGCCTCTGTCTCTGTCTGTCTGTCTGTCTGTCTGTCTGTCTGTCTCTCTGTCTGTCTGTCTGTCTGTCTGTCTGTCTCTCTCTCTCTCTCTCTCTCTCTCTCTCTCTCTCTCTCTCTCTCTCTCTCTCTCTCTCTCTCTCTCTCTCTCTCCCCCCCTCTCTCTCTCTCCCTCTCTCTCTCTCAGCCCCCCCCCCTCCCCACCTTTTTTTTTCTATCTGAGTGCCCGCGCACGTGTGTGTGTGTGTGTGTGTGTGTGTGTGTGCGTGCGTGCGTGTGTGTGTGTGTGTGTGTGTGTGTTTGCAGTGCATGCGTGTGTATCTGTGTGTGTGTGTGTGTGTGTGTGTGTGTGTGTGTGTGTGTGTGTGTGTGTGTGTGTGTGTGTGTGTGTGCGTGCTGCGTGTACGGCTAGTGTTCGAATGTATCGTACGTACGTGTGGCCGTGCGCGTTTTTGTGCACACCACGAGTTCATTACCTCTGGACTGGCCTGTGTCAATATATAAGCAATTATTAACATAATATCTGCGACTCAAGCCATGATGGCCTGCCGCCTCCTTTTTACAAGCCTTTCATTAGAACTGACTTTCTCCAGCGATCAGATTGTTAAAATTGTTACACGGATTTTGTTGGGACATTTTTAATATGTAGTTATCACCTCCCTCCGTCACACGCTCTCTCACACACACACACACACACACACACACACACACACACACACACACACACACATACACTCGCGAAGTGTCTTCTCACTTCTCTTGGTGCAATATCGGTCTCTTTAGATATATTCCTTGATTTAAAAAAAAATTAATGCAGGGCCTAGAATTTAAATCAAATTTGTATTATGACCTACAGCAATGATGATGACGATGATGATGAGGATGAGGAGGAGGAGGAGGAGGAGGAGGAGGAGGAGGAGGAGGAGGAGGAGGAGGAGGAGGAGGAAGAAGAGGGGGGAGGAGGAGGAGGAGGATGGTGGTGGTGGTAGCGGTAACACATGTTGATCTGTAGCCTATGCTGCTCACCTGTGCGGGTAAGTAGGGATGGGAGTAGGGCCTATTATGAAGAGGAGGGTCAATGGGGTGGGTGGGGGCGACGGTGTAAAGGGAAGATCTCGATAGAGTTTCCCTAACTCATGGCAGTTGTAACACAAATAGGTAATAGGATAGCCGTTACTAGAGAATAACATTCAAAGAAAAGGAAGAGAAATAATGATTATGTTATAGAAATTTGATAAGAAAATAAAAAGAAGCAAGCCACACATGTTCAAAATCACCCGCCAACCACCCAGACGAGAGACTACCACGTCAGCATGAGACCGCCGACAGCGTTGATCTCCTTTTTTTTAACACGTTCTGTCTATTCTAATCGGTGAACAGCATTGCGTGCATGCTCAGTGCATTTTTACTTGTCCTGTGGACGTCCCACAGTTGAATTCTGTCTATGCCTGCACATAATATAATGCATACGAACAACTCTGTATAACTGTCAAAATCTGTGATAAATTACTGCATGAGGTTTAAAATGTGCACCGGTGACGCGACTTGTTGTATTATTACCAGCTTCATTTTTTCCGCGTTTTCTTGGGAGATCAGAAGATGCGAATAGCAGAGTCAAGTAGGCCCACTTTGTACCATCTGGCTCTTCTACTTAATTATCTCTCTCCCATCATTTTTTTTTTCAATTTCAATCTGCTATAAATATCCCCCCCTAAAAAAACAACAACAACCAACAACAATTTAAACAAACAAACAAACAAACAAAATCATAACAACAAAAAAACCAACACCACCTACAACAACACCCCCCCCCCCTCGAAAAAAAAGTTAAAAGCAGAAAAAATCAACAACAAAACAAGCCACGAACACCAACAACATACACAATGACCATCATTGACATTGATGTGTCTATTTGTCGCTCTGTCCCACCATCTGGCGCCAGTTCAAAGTCATTCTACTGTCTACGTATACTCTCCTTTGATTAGACATTAACCATTACACTACCATTAGGGCTACAACTGAATTCACAGACATCACACTGTTTTTGGGGTGTTTTTTTATGTACCGGTAGATGTTTTAGTGTATTTTTGCTGATTGTACGGGTTACGAACGGAGCAGGGCTACTCGGGTGGCTTTTCCCCGAGTAACTCACGCGTGCTTCCTTTTCAATACAATGATAATATAAGCTATCTCTATTTTAGTCCCTTTCCATTGACTCTCCTGATGCTCTGTTCCACTGTGGTGTCGTTTTCTCAGTTGATATCAGCTGGACTATCGGAGACGGACGTTACGTTAAGTGCTAGGTCCCGCCTCTTCAATAACCTTACTTACACTTTTAGTGTTGCAAGCCAGATTTGACGTCATGCACGGGCAAATATCTACAATTTAGCACTATTTCACAAAATTCGACTCAATTCGACTGTGCATGGCCATCAACATCACACGCTTTTTTTAAACGTCGCAAGTTGAATCGGTCGTTGTTATTATTATATGCAAAAAGGATAGCTTTTGCCCCGTCCATGAAGGGATATTATTATCGGAAACGGCTGGCCCCGATTCAGTCTGATGAATCCGATTTGAAGTGTAGAATTCTGTGGGACTGGGTGTAATGAAGCACCGTCCTGATCATCAATGATTTATTTATAATTTATAGTTATAGTAGAGGCACCAGTCATCCATGTCTGTGCTGTTTTAGCCTAGGTACGATCAAGTTTCGTCATTATAACAGTTTTTCAACTCTGAATTCAGACCTTGGGGGAATTAGCAAACGTTGGACAAGTTGTGTTGTCGTTTAACACCTCACAATGAGCGGTTTTGCAGAGTCTGCCGTCTGCTGATCAGAGCAGAGCCCGGTGCAACAAACGTCACCACAAACAAGGGAACCAGTCATCCGTGGCTGAGGCGCGTTGTAACCGTGAATAGAGAGTACATGTAGTGGTTTATATTCTATGGTTGTAACCGAGGTTACGGGGTCAAGGCCGCCCGGCGAGGTCAGCGTCTAGGTCAGAGCTGCATGACTTTTTGTAAATTATAATATATTATATTATAGATCTATAATATAGGTCTATTATTATGTAGGCTATTTTGGGTTGACGTCAACACGGACCACTTTGCCATTTTTATTTATTTGTTCATCTATTCGCATTATTATTTTTGTAGGCTAATTGTTTTTATTCACATATATTTATAATTTATTTTGCTGCCTGCTGCGTTCCCAGAGTGTCAACCCTTGTACTTGTACTATTCTACTACATACTGAGATCAGAGATCACTGTGCCTTGATGGAGGACTTCATGTGTGTTATGCTCACACATGCCACTTCAGGCTCGGCTTTACATATTTACACACACAGAAAGAGGGTGGGTGATGGGCCCTGGTGTGGTCTGCTCCTTTCTTTCTATCAAACATCTTGTCGTTCTTATCTCTCCTTTTCTTTGTTTGTTCCTCTCTAACCTTCGGCTCTTATAATAATGACTTATTTGTGTGGCAAGTGCTGTAAAACTTACGAAAACTAAAACACAAGCAGGTCTATCTTTATCCTAGTCCTGAGTGTTGGGATCTGCTTTGGTCTCACAGATGGTTGCTCAAGGCTAGAAAGGAAAACTTATGCTGAGCAGACTTTTTGAAAAACACAGAATGCTGGGAAAGACAAAGATCAGCATGCCACGCCCACCAACCAAAGTTCAAACAACATTAAAATATTATTATTGTCGCAATATTAAAAACACCAAGACAGTTTCACAAAACTTAGAAATATGTTACAATTTTTTTATTTTCTCTCAAAAGTTGCAACAATAACAAAGAACACAAGAGAGGGATTTACAAAAACAATTTTCTGACAAGAGAACCACAACTTTGCACAACAGCACAAAGAAGTACTTTTGACCAATTAGTTTGACTTACCATGTTAGGCCAATGTCAACACAGAAAGGTAACGTTAACAACAGTGACGATCCCAAGAAGAGCACATCAACGAAAGGAAGGACTTTTTATAAGAGTTGGGAGCAATGCAAGAAGACAGAAATAGCAGTTGAACAGGAAGGTTTTAAGACCCATCAGTGGTGACTTCAAACCACTCACAGAGAATAGTGACAGAGAATATAAGGGATTTATCCAGT